ATTGGCATTTTGGCGCGACTATGAATTCAAATTTGACAGAAATGTAGCTCTGAGAAATCACGCACGCAAATTGATTTGGGTTATAAAATGAGAAAAGCTTGCGTGCGTGCGTAAAAAAACTCTCGCTGGTAATATTAGGTTGAGCTGCTAATAACATTATCCTTTACTGAGAAAAAACACGCGTTGTAAGAATCAAATTTTTTTATTTGGTTACCGTTTAAAAATGGTCGTATTTAAATCAAGTGAAAAGTCTTAACAAAATGGATTTTTCCATTATGCATACACTACGTACATATGATGGAAATATTCAATTCAAATACGCCCGTATTAAAATGAAGCATTTTTCACTACACGGATGGCGTTTTGTACGTCTCGGATGCTTTTTCATATGTAAATAAGAAAGTATGGCGCATATTCATAGTCATATTTAGTTCACAACGAAGTTGAAACTATCCTAAGTTACAACTAAAGCTATTCATAGTCGCCTTAGTTTCGACTTTTCTGGCTAAGTACCAACTTAAAATTTAGTTTCGGCTGCAGCTGCAATTAAGTCGTAACTAGGAAGAAGTATTTTATTAAATTAAGGAAAAAATACGAAATATGTAAGAATTAAGTTGGCAGAGCGTGATTTTGATAATATTGAATGATCTCCAATTGAAATTTACAAAGAGCGATCCATTTGAATCGGAAGATGAAATTAAATGCGTATTACAATTCGAATAAGGCTACATCACAATTTTATAATTGGAATTATTTTCATATATAAATGCTCAAATAATAAGTCAATTTCAAACTTGTTCTTTTAAAGCACAGCATGCTTTCGATAAACATCGACTTCACATCATTTCGGTAGTTCTGGCTATTTCACACAATTAACAAGAAACTTATATCTTATTCTTTTGCATAGACATGCAATGAAAGTAAAAATTACATAAACGGATGATCAAACTTGACTTGATATTTAATAAAAATGTAATTTTTCCAAAATATCTTAAAGGAAAATCGATACATTTTCACACTCGTTTTGCAATATCGTAATACTAAGTTAAAACTACTTAGTAGAAGTCTGAAATGCGACTATGAATAGAAGTGAATTTTAAGTTGGCACTTAAATTTAAGTTGCAACTTTATTAGTTTCGATTTAGTGGCTGGACTAGGGTTCAATCGATACCACTAAGGTATCACTCTAATGAGTACTTGTACTCAAAAGACTGAAAGTATCGATACCTACTCAGTACTTCATATTCTTTTTCGAGAGATACTTCCCTTTTTGTGTTGTAAAAGGTCGCATGATTACGTCTTATCATGGTTTAAAACATTGTATGTCAAAATCAAATAAAAAGCCAATAAAGTTTCAGGTATAGAAAACGTATATATTTAAGTTATTTAGTAAGAATACAAAATTATTATTAATTAATATTTGTGGCACATTACCAAGGAACAATATTGGCTATAATTTTTTCAGTCATATGAGTGTATAGGTCACCCAATATGGATAAGTTTCGGATTTTTATTTTTGTTTTTGTTTTCAAATTAATTTTATTCACTTTTTTTTATAAATGGTATAGTTCATTCCATAACAAAAACCTTGTTAATCCAAGTTTAAAACTTTGTACAAAAATTCAAAGCAAATCAACAAAGTTTCATCAAAGAACGTAAATAATAAGAAGGGACAACTTGTGCCTGCCCTTTTGCGCTAGTACGTTTTCATCAAAATTCCACACTTTTTATTCTGAATAAAAAGTGTTTAATTTTGGTGAAACTTAGATTTTCTTTTAATTTTTGTACAAAATTTGAAACTTGTATTTACATGGTTTTTGTCATAGAATGAACTATGTTTTTTATAAAAAAGTAACTAAAATTAATTTGAAAATAAAAATAAAAATCCGACACTTATCCATAAGGTCACCCCTATAAGTATACAGCGCACTGCATCAGTTACAAAGTATTTATGAAAAAAAATGTATTGTTTCTTTTGGTACATTGCTGAGGAACAATATTAGTTATAATTACATATATGACTTCATATACATAAGTATATTATTCACAAAATATTTATTAAAAAAATAGCTTTTGGGGCACGCTGCCAAGAAACAATAACTTTTCTAAATGCTTTCCAGACAAGCGATTTCTACTTTCTCTACTACAAGGCCTGTATGCAGCTCTCAAGAAAAGCTAAAACTCCATATAAAATGACGTACAAGAAATGGCTAAAACATTTTCTTGAGTCAAGTTTCCTTAAAGCAGGACGCAGTTCTTAAGGAATTTACTACGCTTTCTACTACGGGTTTCTAAAGTTTTTTGTGAAAAAAGAGCACAAGGCAACCCAGGTTTGCAACAGAAATATATGCCCGTTCCATTATTTCTTGAGGAAAGAGTGAGGCAACAGGCTGTGAGGTATCAAAAATGTCAAAATTCCTTGGACACACACGCGAAATAATGGCAATTTTTTCTTGACCGTTTTCTTGAGAGCTGCATACATGGCTACCTCACCGCACTTTTCGCGAAAACTCTAATAACGGGCGTCATTTGTTGAGTTGCCGTTGCAATGATAAAAGTAGTAGAAATTACTCTTTCGATACCAAGTACTTTTTTTCGATACTTACTCGATACCGAACAAGAAGGTATCGAGTAAAAAAAATACTTGGTGGAAATGTACCGAGTATTTAATTGTATTTACTTGTATCGATTGAACCCTAGGCTGGACTGTGGATACGCGCCTATATGTATATAAAGCATGCACAGCGGTGACAACACATACACACATCAGGGGCGAACGCAGGTAGGGGCTTTGGGGGTTCAAACCCCTCCCGAAATGCCTGCTGAAAATTTTAAGAAATTTCTCTCCTTGTATTTACTTAATTAAACAAAACCAATACTGTTTTTATTTCCGTAAAAGTTTGTACGAATTTTCAACTATTCGCAAAAATCTGCAAATAAAGAACAAACCGAGGTGAATGAGCACAAGCTTGGAAGCATAACCGGACTAAATATTGATGTTGATAGATAACTCATACGCCATGGCATTTTAACGATATACGTTTTCGACCCCGCGCCCGCACTCACAGACACCATGTCTGTATGTATGTTGACTTATACTTGCAACAATGCACTTTTAACATAGGCTGGAATAACTTTAAGACCATAAGAATTGGCAGACAAACTTGAATTCACCTATATATATAAATGTGTATGTCTGTTTGCTTATTACCTTATAACTTCTGAACCGCGGCACGGAATCGCACGAAACTTTGCACACTTATTTGCTTTTTCCGCGGGAAGGTTATAGGCATAGAGAAAAATGGGCAGTGCTGGAAAAGAGGGCGTGGCACCTCCTACACTTACTAAAATTTTCATATTGTATATCTCTTGAAATATTTGTGGTAGAGCATTGGAATTTGCTGTCGAGATAAATAAAATTAATTCCATACTCATGGGAAAAAATTGGCGGTATTGGAAAAGGTGGCGTGGCACCTCCCATGGGCGTGAATTATTTAATCAGCTCTAACTTCGGAACCGTAAGTCACATGAACTTGAAATTTGGTATGCAAACATATCTATAGTAGATGCTTATCTTAAGGTATATGTAAATGAGTTTGTAAAAGGAGGCGTGGCAGATAACATAGGCGTGGAATTTTTAGTCAGTCATAACTTCGGAACATAAGTCACATGAACTTGAAATGTGGTATGCAGGTATCTACGGTAGGTGCTTATAGTAAGGTATATATATAAATAAGACTGTGGAAGGGGGCGGCAAATCCCAAAGGCGTGGAATATTTTACCAGTTATAACTTCGGAACCATAAGTCACATAAACATAACATTTGGTATGCAGACATATCTATGGTAGGTGCTTATAGTAAGGTATATATAAATGAGTTTGTAAAAGGGGCGTAGCACTTAACATAGGCTTGGAATTTTTTGCCATAGCTTCGTAACCACAAGTCACATGACCCCTATAATTCCTTCTGGCGTGGGGTGAAACCCGCGGGTAAAAGCTAGTTTTCTATATACTTTAGTTAAAATTCTGTTCAAATTTCAAGTCATATGAAGTACGTTGTTCAGCAGCCAGCCCTCCTGATATCAATTTATATGCATACTAGCTTTTACCCGAGGGTTTCACCGCACGTCTTTATACAAATATGAAAAAATTTTTATGTAACGATGTTATGTTTCATTTCTTCTCGAATTTTAATATAGCCGTGATAGCATAATAACGTAGAATAGTTGTTTAGCTGGGGTGCTATGAAATCAAAAGCAATAATATGTTTATAATAAAATAGTTTTAATAAATTATATAGATAATAGTTGAAATACCAAAGTTGTATTGTAATAACTAAATTTTAACTATCTAATTTCTTACTCTAATATTATTCCGCAGCACGTTTTTAGTACTTCAATGCATCTATTAACATAGATGCATTTTCCAATGCAATTATCATAAATTTTATTTTCGATAAAGAGTTGGTTTTATTTTAAGGCATCCTTTTTTATTGTCATTGCAAAAGCTAAGTGAACTGGAAACTGAAGTTTTTTAAATTCTAAAGGCATATCAGAAGGAATTAAAGGGGTCATGTGATTTGTGATTCCGAAGTTATGGCTGATAAGAACTTCCACGCCCATGTTATGTGCTACGCCCCCTTTTACAAACTCATTTATATATACCTTACTATAAGCACCTACCATAGATATGTTTGCATACCAAATTTTAAGCTCATGTGCCACGCTCTCTTTTATATATACCTTACAATAAGCGCCTCCCGTAGACATGTCTTCGTACCAAATTGCAAATTCTTTCGACTTATGGTTCCGAAGTTTTAGCTGATTAAACATTTGCAGGTCTATTGGCGGTGCCACGCCCCCTTGCGAAATTTACGACATAGTTTCAAATAAGACCATACCTATAACCTTCCCGGGGTAAAAACAAATAAGTCTGCCAAGTTTCGTGCGATTCCGTGTCGTGGCTCAAAAGTTATAAGGTAATAAACAAACAGACATTCACATTTATATATATAGATAACAAGCTAAGCTCACAAAAAATTTCAATCGATCTGAAGAATGATGGGTTTTTTGGGCATGAGCTCTCCGTCTAGATGCTCTGGTAACACCACTTTATATACATACATACTTTACATAATCCCTAAAAGTACTACATATATACTATATGCACATTTTGGTTTGCGTTTTAAGGTTTTCGAAGCTTTCGAAAGGGGAGAAGTAATTGAAATTAATTTACATATCTATCTGGGAGAAAAAGTGTATTTTCAATGTCGCTGAATCACCAGAGCAAAAAGTGCTACGTACCGAATGCATTCTGTAAAAATAACGAACTATTTTAAACTGATAAACTTCTGCCCCTCCGGCTGCCGAATTTTCACAAACAGCCGAAAATTCATCTCACGAGTGTCAAGTACGGAAAAAATGAATACGCTCCGGCGCTGGGAAACTTGGTGCAGCTGATTCCAGAGTAAGAGTTCATTTCCACCACGCCTTAACTGCAGTTAATGCCTATGGGAAAAGGAAATTAAAACAGCTCTTGGTGAAAGTGGGCTATAAGTTACCCGAGTCCCACAGTTCTCAGGACGTAATGATGAGATAGAGAAAATCTTATTGGAATTTTACTAGCATGTATGAATACTAACGTTTAGGCGTAGTTTGATTAAGGCCCAAAAATGGTCGCTTCCCTAAGTTTAAAAAATCAACACCCTCATTGTTTTCAATATGCCGGTAATTTCACAACCCTCTGCGTCACGAAAATCAAGTTTTAAGTTCTCTGCGACCGAATTTATATATCCACGTCCTTGCAGGTTCCGCTTAATGATGCGTCAAATTTTGGTCACCGTAAACTAAGCGATAACGAGAATTATGAGCTCCTTGAATGTCCGTGGGCACCGGATGCTGCTTTTACATTTCCGCCTTCGACTAAACGTAATTTGACATTTCAATTATCATGTGTTAAAATGTGTCAAAGGTAATTTTCTACATTTAAATTCAAATGCCATGCTAATATTTAAATTAATATTAGCGGTATTCATCTAAACCGATAGCTTTATCAAGCAGATATTCTTATAAATTTAAGAGCTCTGTTACATGAACGCCCCATACTCTTTTTTTGTATACACTTGCGACAGAGTTACATTGTCTTCAGGTTATCAAGATTATTCAGTGATATCGTTGTAGAAATTTATTTGAAATGTGTAAACGAGTTTCCATACAAATTTTGACAGTTGATTTCCAAAGTTTACACAATTATAATTTTATACGGTTTATAAGGTTTGATGTATACCCTTATTATGTTTCTTTACAGGCATTTTTTCAATGTACCTACGGAGCATAGTCCAACACCATTCCTAGACGCTCCTGATGTTTGCAATCAATCACTGTACCTAAAGGTATACCGATTCTTGCAGATAGGGCCAACACTTCCTGTGACACTTATTTCCAGTGAACGCTCCTTCTTAAGCTTGAATCAAATTTACGAAGTAAAACTGGGGAAAAAAGATTATATGGTTAAGCTTTACTTAGCATCCACAGAAATATAGAAGTTGCGAATAAAGAATTACTGATTACAATATTTTCTTTTAAGTCGAAGCAGTAGAGAAATGATATTTCACATTTTTCATGCATACATGTGTAATAATTTAGTGAAAAAAATATAGACATTTTGTACTACCGAAACGCATATTTGGTGCAACTGATTAAATGAAAAAAAAATCATAATTTTAAAACCCCTCCCGAAAAAAATTTCTGCGTTCGCCCCTGACACACATACATAATGCAAAAATCGCGCGCTGTGATGTTGATTGAAACTCAACATTTAAAAACACCCTTTACATGTATGGCTTTAGCTTAGTGTGCAAAGACCCTTGATACAATTGGTTGCGGCCAAGAGGGTCCGAGTTCATCAGACGGAACATAAAATTAATTTTTTTTCTTATTATTTACAAAAAACCACCTGCGCACTTCACAACCACATATTTTGTAAAGTATATACTCAAATTTAAAACGAATTGGGTTGGTGCTCTTGCATATGCGTAATTTTTTTTCAATTTAGCACGTTTTTTTAATTCTAAATTTTTTTCCTCAGTGTTGGAATTTGAGTTTATGGCATTCGATACGATACTAGGGTTCTGGTACTCGATTCCAAAAAATATCGTTTTAAAACTATCGAGTAGAAAATATCGGTATCGAATGCCAAAAGTATCGATATGGTATCGTATCGTATCGAAATTCGTATCCCTATATACAAGCAGAAAACATTTCAAGGGAGAATTATAAACGAACAAACCAACACCGCATCCGATGTAATATTCGAACCACTCAAGATGCTGTACGAAAAATATGAGAAGACCCCTGAAAAAACGCCAACGCGAAGATACATACCTACGCCGCAGAGACCAAGAAAATAAAAATAACGGGTTTCTACCCGCCGGCGAATACAAGCAAACAAAACCGGTCGCACTCAGATGGGTATGCATGACCTAATGACAGTTAAAACAGATAGTAACACGAATACATAAAAGGCGGAAGGAAACACGAGCTATCCAGAACGAAAAATGACACTGAAGATGGCAAAACGCCGAAACCGGTTTGACTCCAAACCAAATTTGACAAGGGATGTCGGAAAATCGTTCCACAATACATCATAGACAAATGTATACATAAATGATCAGAATGAAAAGAGAAATCGATTAAGCGGTGACTGTCTGTCCGTCCGTCTGTCCGTCCGACCGTCTGTGCACACGATAACTCGAGTAAAAATTTAGATATCTTAACGAAACTTGGTACGTGCACTTCTTTCTGGCGTAGGACGGATAGTATTGAAAATGAGAAAAATCGGACAATAACCGCGCCTACCTCCCATATAACGGTCATTTTCAGAAATACGAAAACTGCGATATTTTAGTAACTACTGAAGATTATTCACTCAAAATTGCATTTACAGTGATTTTTAGACGAAAAATAAGAATATTATAAATTTTTGGAAAATGGGCGTAGCTACGCCCACTTATGGTTACATGTGTTTACCTTGGTAACCGCTGCACCAATTTCTTCCAAACTTGACACAGCTGTTGTCCTTGGTATAGCATACCAAATGTCCGGACAATAACCGCGCCCACATCCTATATAACGGCAATTTAGAGAAATACGAAATCTTCTATAAATCAGTAAATATTAAAGCTAATTTATTCAAAATTTATGCTTGCATCAATTGTTTACCAGGAAATACGTTTATGATAAAATATTGGAAAATGGGCGTGACACCGCCCACTTATGATCACATATATGTATCTCGGTAACCGTTCTACCAATTTGTACCAAACTCGGTATGGTTATTGTGCTTGCCACGTAAAAGCAAAACGTTTAAAATTTTTGAAATAGGACTAAAATTACGGCCGCTTTTCATATAACGATACATTTCAGAAATGCTTGAAACTTCAATATTTCGAAATTTAAGGACGCTAGTTTACTCAAAATTTATCCGGAGTGTAGCTTTCGGAAAGGTGAAAAACATATCTTTAATACCTGCGCCGGGTATTTAATGTTCGGCTCCGCCCGAACTTTGACTTTCTTACTTGTTTAAGATCCCATTTGGCGAATATTCAAAACATGTATTGGAAACGGTAAAGGCAGTCCAATTGCTCGGTGGTGCTGAGGTCGAGTTATTACTAAAAATCGACAAGTGAGAAAAGGCCGCAAATGTTAGTCTAAATCAACCTGTTGCACCATTGAGCATATCGAACTCTCGTGTATTACGATTGGCCCAATGGATGTGAGTTTCCAATATTAGTATGCGATTAAGCTGCATTCGAAGAAACCAGGGTTGAGTTGTGCAGTGGTAAATCTCAAATCACCACCTGTCGAAATAGCAGTTTCATGAAGGCAATTTAATGAAAATTAATTTTTTTAATTGAATTTAATATAGAATCTGACAGAAAAAAAATAATTTTTCACTTAAATTGCTTTCGACAAACTGGCTTTTAAGGTATTTCATCTCAGTCTATATAAGTATATTGTATTTCTGTTGAACAAGGATACGCATTCATTTTGAAATTGCCACCAGCTATAAGATAAAGTGTGTTGGTGTTGATTTATTTTGGAACGAATTTCCGTCATCCCTTGTCAAGTTTGGTTTGCAGAAAAACCAGTTTCGGCATTGTACCATCTTCAGTGTCATTTTTCGTTCTGTCTGGTTCGAGTTGGTGTCCTTAATTTATGTTCATTTATCTCAGGTAATGTGATTTTCGTCAATGATTAATTACACAGGTTTACGAAAAAAAAGTGTATGCATATTAAACCAAACCTATATATCCCTATGTTATTCGACATGCTGAATGCGAATCCAAGGTCCGTTAGCCTCCATCACGTCAGGTTCGTGGTCATTTGAAGGTCAAGTAGGGAAAAATTCATTGAATAAACCTGAAAATTCAATAAAGTTCATCGGAATTTGACCTTGGGATGACCTTGGCATGACCTCCAGATGACCCTGAGGAATCAAGGGACCTCCATACTCGGTTTCAAAGACAACAAAAACAATGTTTTTTTTTTAAATTTTTATTGAATAAATTTTATATCCAATTTGACCTTCAAATGACCTCGAAGCTGACATTATGGAGGTTAACGGACCTCGGATTCGGGTTCAGCGAATATAAAACCTTATGTATATGAATTTTCAGGTTTATTCAATGAATTTTTCCCTACTTGACCTTCAACTGACCACGAACCTGACGTGGTGCAGACTAACGGACTTCGGATTCGCATTCAGCGTGTCGAATAACATAGGGATATATAGGTTTGGTGTAATATGCATAAGCTTTTTTTTTTGTAAACCTGTGTTATTAGAAATGCCATGGTGTCCTTTTTTATTTTAGAACCAGGTAATAGATTAATCTTCGCTGTCTCGATATTACCATCCGTTATGTTGTCTCTGTATAGTTTTTGCCTGTAGGTAGGTAAAAGTCTGTGATTTTTGTCCTGGTGGTACTTTGTGGTGTGTTCGGAGTGTCCATGCCTGTTGTTTTGTTGTCATTTTGTGGCTGCGGGTTTCCTAAAAATTTCATATTGCAGACTACTGGCGTTTTTATTTATTTTGATCGTCAGATCTAAGTATTTTAGCTTTCCTTCCATTTCTTGTTCCATTGTGAGCTTTATGTTGCTGTGCTGTTTGTTGAGGTATTCCAATATCTGTTCTTCATTTCTCTTTGTTGTTACTGACAGAAAAAACAGGAATCAGAGAAATCGCCGTGGAGATAACTAACACACGTTGCACAGTGCCGCCTAAGTGGGCATAAATCGAAAAATTCGTTATCTGCAATGTGAACTTGTTTGGTATTTCTGTAACAACAATTTATCCACTAAAAAGAATTAAACAGACATTTCCCTAAAAAAATAATTATATGCCGCCAGGAAGCCACTAAAGTGGACAAATTTTATACTAAGAATTTTAATAAAAGCATAGCCAGGCGTAAGCTCTTCACAGAAAAAAATGTCAAAAATATATTCTTTAAAATAAAATGTTGGTGCGACATTTCTTGTTTCCATATAGATAGCATAGAATTACAGGAATTAAAATTTTGGGATAAATTAAACATAGCGTGTCCCTGCGGTGTTCAAAAAAAAAAAGATTTTTTAAACAAAATTTCAAAAAATGCTAAATTTTAATGGAATGAATAAAAAATATATGTAAAAAGGGGTTATTTTTTATTATTTTATTAAATAGTACAGGCTTTTAGCTTTCAAAAGAAGAAATAAAAACCGGCTCATTTTTTGCACTTTCTGAAGTAATGCATTTTTCGCTAATGCATAAAATAATTTTTTCATTTTTTGTCAGTGCTTGAGATCTGCACGATTCGTTCCATTTTCAAAAATTAGGTGTCAGATTAAAAAGCTTGACCTATGGACAATAGAAGGTTTATTTTCTTTTTAAAGAGTTGCTACCTGTGAAAAAATTAGATTGTTAAAAAATTATACTAAAATTTTTTCAAAAATTAAATAAATTATTAAGAGATGGGTATCAATCGAAATGTGTATTAACTACATGCAGCGAGTTGCCACCTGTTTAAAAAAAAAACAAATTCCACTTGAATTAAAGGAACTAGGTCATCGTCAGTCAGTGATTTATTCTGATTACATTCCTTTTAAATTACTGGACTCTTAAATTAACTCAAGAATGTTTTTACTCTCCACTTATTTCTTGCTAAATATGTCAAATTTTTTCATTTATCTTATACTCATATTGATATACATATTTCAGTTACCTTATTCCCTTAGTTAAAGTGATTTTGATTCTTTAAACATGTGGCAACCCTTCTACGTGTCATTTAGAGGTAAAGTATTTTCAAAACTAGTTCAATTGATACCCATATTTTAATATCTAATTCATTTAACTTATTAAACAATTTTAATAAAACCCTTTTCAAAAATAAAAACTTAATTGCACATCTACAGGCCAAGCCCTGTCATTTCACACCTCACTTTTGAAAATAGAACGAACTATATGTACATACCTATGTAAAAGGCACAATAACCCAAATTTTCAACT